ATAGAACATATTATCTCAGCGTACTTAAAACGAAATCAGACTTCTAGCTTAAACGCTCCTTTGTTTTAGCGCCTACATTGCAAATACAATCAACAGCAAAATTAAGCATTCAGATGCTTTGCCCTTAGGCTTTAACAGGTCATTGTATCATCAACCACAGACTCTTTATGATAAATCATATAGCAATTCTTACAGAAGTAGGATAGGGGTAGTTATGTATTAGGTTCATCACTCCTTAGTTTTTGAACCCAAAGAGGCTGCCATTTGTAGTCCTCAACTTACAATCATTCATTTCATGGTTGTTCAATGGCACTGAAAAAAGTGACTTATGACCATTGTCCACACATATGTGCAGGATCCCCATGGCTGTGTGTCCAAAATTCAGACTCTTGGCAACTGGCTCGTATTTATGACAGTTGCAGTGTCCCAGGGTCAGGTGATCCACTTTTGCTATTTCAGAGAAGCAAAGTCAAGGGGAAGGCAAATTCACCTAACAAACATCTTGCTAACTTAAAACTGCAGTGATTCACTTAACAACTGTCATAAATTGGGGCAAAACTCAACTGTCCTACCAACAGAAATTTTGGGCTCAATTGTGGTCGTAAGTCATGGACTACCTATAATATTATTACTCATTTACACTAGCAATTAAAACTGCAAGTCCAGAACTCTGGAATTCTCAGGTTCTATCACAGTCCTTATTGCTACTAACACAATGGCAATGGAAAAAACCTTTGTTCGGACTCAGAAGCTAAGCACTGATGGACCTAATAAGTACACAGATAGAAGATGACCAGAGAATTCCATGGCTACAGGCAAGACTGGGAAGCCAATGCCCCCCACCCCCCACCCGGTCAAAGAAAGCAATGATTTCCATCCTCTCACCACAAAAAATGCATGAATGAGTCCATGACATCACCAGAAATGCAACTCAAATCGAACAAGTCTTTGTTATTTTTATTTGGTTACAAAATTCTCATGCATCTGATGCAGAGGAACCCATGAAATTTTAATTAAACTTTAAGCCATGTTAAATGTTTTAGCTCCAGCGTGCCCCAAGAATCTATTGTCATGGACTTCTGTGTTCCACAAAAGGTATATGTATGCAGTCTGCATAGTGTCACAAGAATTATATGGCAGCCAGCAGAAACATTTCTGCTGTCAGATGGCATGTAATAAAGATGTGTTTGATCTAGAGAACGCCTGAGGGATGCTCTGTCCAGGCCCCTGCATCATTTGAAGCTTCTTTCTACCTTTGAATTGGCACAACTTTCATCAGATAGAAAATAAAGAATATGTCAACATAACTGCATCACACTCATTCATTTTTCAGAACAAAAAAAGCTCCATAGAAATACTAAAGAAGCTTATACCCAGCCAGATTCCGATATCATTAGTGATAATTATCTTCAACAACTTTCCTATTATTATTTGGGTACATCAACTGAAATAAAAAAAAATATGGTTCCATCAAACTGTAGTCCCATTGTCTTTCAAGGAGGCCCATTCCGATATAGGATGTCCATTTTGTAATTATTGTATGTTGAAGATGTTTTGGGCTCTTATAGAAATTGTCACATGATTAAGATCTACCATTTACAGTGCTTTGCTATTCTCCTTTTTCTTTTTTCCTGAAGGAGAGGTGTTGCAGAACTGTCAAATGCAAACAATAATACAACACAATACAATAGCAGAGTGGGAAGGGACCTTGCAGGTCTTCTAGCCCAACCCCCTGCCTAGGCAGGAAACCTTATACCATTTCAGACAAATGGCTATCCAACATCTTCTTAGAGACTTCCAGTGTTGGGGCATTCACAACTTCTGGAGGCAAGCTGTTCCACTGATTAATTGTTCTAAACTGTCAAATACAGTCAAAAAAGCGTGCATGTCAGCTACCAAATGCATTCAATTATGCATGATTTTAAAATGTTTCAACTGCTTACAGATAAAGTTTCTCTGCCATTTGTATTGGAGGTAATCCTTGACTTACAACAGTTCATATAGTGACCGTCAAAAGTTACAACAGCACAGAAAAAAGTGACTTATGACCATTTCTTACATTTGCAACCATTGTAGCAGCCCCATAGTCATGTGATCAAAATTCAGATGTTTATCAATGGACTCATATTTACGACAGTTGTAGTCTCCTGGGGTCACGTGATCCCGTTTTGCGACCTTCTGATAAGCCAAGTCAATGGGGTAGCTGGATTCACTCAACAACCAACTTACTAATAACTGCAGTGATTTATTTAACAACACTGGCAAGAAAATCTGTAAAATGGGGCAAAACTCACTTAACAACAGAAATTTTGGGCTCAATTGTGGTCATAAGTTGAGGACTACCTGTATATCCCATTTTATACCATTTTATTTAATGTATTACATTTCTATCCCACCTTTATTACTTTATATATAACTCAGAGTAGTGAATATACATAATACTCTTTACTCCACCCACCACCCTGTGAAGTGAGTTCAACTGAGTGAGTGACTGACCCAAAATCACCAGCCGGCTTTCATGCCCAAGACAGGACTAGAATTCAGTTTCCTGGTTTCTAGGCCAGCACCTTAACCACTATACTAAACATTATCAGTTCACCTGCAAGATTTTTATTATTAGCATTAAAGATGGGCATGGAGAAGTTAATTGGTACAGTCTGTTGCTATTCTTCTCCAATATTGATTCATGTGGAACAGTTTTACTTCCCCTTCAAGTTTTCAGAATTGTGCATGTGGCATGGTGACAGTGCTTCTCAACCTTAGCAGGTTTAAGATGTGAGGACTTCAACTTGTTAAGCAAAATACTATGGTCATTAAGCTAATATGCAGTCACTGAGTGAACATCACAGTTGTGTGAACCCGTTTTTCTGAAAAATAGCAAAAAAAAGGTTGCAAATCATAATTGTGTGACACTGCAACTGGTCATAAATGCAAGTCAGTTGTCAGGTGTCCAAATTGTGATCATGGGCATGGTGTGATAGTCGTAACTTGTACATGCAAAGTCCGGAGTTTTTTCAGCACCATTGTACCTTTGTATGGTTGCTAAATGAATGGTCATAAATCAACTGATGAAGCTTCTTAGTTGAGAAGCTTCATCTTTTTCAAGGGGAAAAAAAAACAGTCCAGTTGCCTTTTGAAAAAGCACCTTTGAGACAATCTTACCCTTATTTCAAGTGTGTCTGATCTTTTAGTTCATTTATAACCTTCTTAAATCAGATTTTTTTTAATCTTTTCCATTTATTTCTAAGTCTTTATGTTCTTAAGCTTATAGTTCATTTTACTTTTATTCAAAATGAAGATAGTCCTTTTCAAACTTGTTTTGAGGATCTCTTAATATTCTTAATGCAGCTGAATAAGTAATTTTCAAAAGTGATTAGAAAGTGAGTTAATAAACTTGGTGCCCTCAAAAGTTGAAAGCATGAGGGTTCCTTTTGCCACCTGACATTCAAACCCATGGGAAACTGCTGTCCTGTCTTGCAGCCTCCTCGCAAGCAGCGATACAGAGCGCAAGAGAGCAATCTCCCATCCTCCTTGTTCAGAAAGGTTCTGGGTGACCAATCTACTTGCCAGTTCTTTGTTCTTAGCCATGATCATCATCTATCTCTACCCATTCCTCACCAGGAAGCTCTAGTACCCTCTCTATTTAACATCTACATGAACTATTAGATAAGATCATCCGCCACCATGATATAACTTGATGCCATACCATATACCATGATACATCTTTAACCCGATGAAATAAGTGATGTTCTTGATGTCCTATCCCAATGCCTGGAAATTAGTTCTAGTCTCATTTTAGACATGAAGCCAACTTGTGACCTTGGGCCAGTCAACTTCTCAGCCTTAGAGGGGAGGCAATGGCAAACCACTTCCAAAGTACAGGGACTAGTCCAGGAGTCACCACTGAGCCTCCCCCCCCCCCAATGGACACACCAGATGAATGGCATTGCCGTATTATTTATTTGTTTGTTTGTTTGTTTGTTTATTTATTTATTTCATCAAGCATGAATTAGATAACAGATATAAGTATAAACATGATTATGAATGCATGAAATAATCACAAATACCAGGGAATATTAGGACAGGGACAGTTGGCACGCTGGTGCGCTTATGCACGCCCCTTAAAGACCTCTTAGGAATGGGGTGAGGTCGACAGTAGACAGTCTAAAGAAACCACAGTACCAGGTAGTGCATTCCAGCAGGCATTGACCACTCTATTACTGAAGTCCTATTTTCTGCAATCAAGTTTAAGTATAGACTTAGTATAGACTTAGCAAGTTTTCCTTTCGGAATTTTTAAACCCTTTTTCTCCGCTTCCCATAATCGTATCTTGCCAGTAGTCTGACCTGCGTATACGAACGCAGGTTTTCGATCCCCATTCCAGCAGGGCAAAAGGAAGCGATTTCCCTCCCACTCCTCTACCCCAGATTTTTCTGCACAGCATACGGAGCTACGGAGCACATGACCTCTAGAGGAGGGGTCTCCAACCTTGGCAACTTTAAGACTTGTGGACTTCAATTCCCAGAGTTCCTCAGCCAGCAAAGTCGGCTGAGGCACTCTGGGAATTGAAGTCCACAAGTCTTAAAATTGCCAAGGTTGGAGACCCCTCCTCTAGAGGGCGCTGCATAAAGTTCCGTTGCTTTCACCTGGTTTGCATCTATGATGATTATTATTATTGGACTTCATCCTTCCTTTCGGAGCAAAGGCTGTCTGGCTTTCTCTTGCCGGCAGCACAAGACCGCGGGCGGCGGAGAACGACAGCGGTGCAAGAGCTGGGCCAACTTTCTTCTGGAAAAGCCGGCTGGGTGGAAAGGGCGCGGCCGCCGCCACCGATCCCTAGGAGCGCGGTGAGTTACCGCGGCCGGGAAAGGCGGGGAATCCGCGCGAAGGCGGGTCCTGACGTCGTGGGATGCCCGAGCCGTGCAGAAACTGCGATCTTCTGCCTCTTCCCGGCCCGAGGAAAGCGGGAAGAAATATCGCATCTATTTCTTTGGGGAGTCGCTTCTTGTGGGTGGTGGGTGGAGCGGGGGATGCGAGGCTCTGATGCTGGCCACGCTTGCGCCCTGAAGCGCCGCCTGCTCGGCTGAGCAAAAGTGCGCCGCAGGCCTAAGTGGTGCTTCCGAGGAGCAGGAGGGTCAAGCAAGGAGGACCCGGGGAGAAGGACGAGCCTCCAGGCGAGAGATCGCCGAAAAACAGAACGCGGCAATCCACCTCTTTCCTCCGAGCTTCGCGGTGCATCGCTGGGGATAAAACCTTGCTCTCGCCGTGGAAAGATAGATATTGTAAGTTTGGGAGTACGGGTGGCAGTTACTCCGGATTAATAAGCTTTTAACTTGGGTCATGAAATTTACAAGGGGTGTCCGTGTTTTCCTTAACGGACCTACGTTCATCCCCCCTCCCTTTCTTAACGATGGTACTATTAACAGTGGTAATTTTTCCTAGGTGCGTTATAAATGTTCATAGGTGGTTGTTTTGACTTGCTCCTCTCTTCTTGTGCCTTATAATGTAGGGCTGCACGGAATACTTGCTGACTTTTCTCGGGAGTAACAAAAACCCAGTTTAAAACGAGCCCCGGAAAGTGTAAGGCTTGCTCTGATAACGTTGAGAATGGTATCCCTAACTCAAAACTTCCGTTTTAACCGGCCACAGCAAGACGGGTTAGCACAAGTATGAAGTGTTCTGTTGCCAGAATTAACATTTGTTTCACCTGAATTTCAACAACAACAACGATTTGTCACAACAAGGAGCCTATGAGAGGGGACCTAATTGGGTTGCATGAACCTAACCAGTTTGGTTTTAACTTAAGATGCATTGTGTTTTGCCAATTCATGAGTTTGCATGGAGTTGGTTAGTAGATAGTTTAATTGTGCTTGGTCAAAATCTAACTTATGATATAGCTTTAGAATATTGTTTTCCAACTTTGGCAACTTCCAGATCTATGCACTTCCAACTCTCAGAATTGTCAGCACTAGACCCATTCCACTATTCAGGGAATTCAAGTTCATATATCTGGAAGTTACCAAGATATTTTACAGCAATATTTGCATCAGTTTAAGAATGGCATTATAAGGTGGATTATTTCAGAAATATGGTTATATAATTGTTCCGTTAAAGATTAAACTATTATTAAATCTAACTGTGTTAATACTATAAATATAAGGCATATAAATATAATATAAGAAAATGAGGCTTTTCGGAACCACCTTTACCTAACAATTAATCATTTTAATTGTTTCTCCTATGCAAATATGAATACAATGAGTTATTCAGGACAAAAAAAGTATATAGTATAGGACTGGCTTTAGGTGACTTCTACTCTAATTTGGATAGCCCAGAGATATTTGACTTTCACTTTCATAATTATCAGAAAAACATCATTAGGTTCAATCTATTAGTCACAACTCTTCCTTTTCAATTGCCAATTTCATTTGGGGATAGATGAGGAACAGGAAGGCAAAATAAAGGAGGGGAAAAAAGCAAGGAATTACTTTCATACTTGTTTTCTCTCTAAATAAGCAACAATATACAAAAGCAACAAATAGCTGCAAAATGACAAGAATGATGTGGTATAAATATTCCATACCGGTGTAAATTAACATTGGTTTTTTTCCAGATCTTCAAGAATAAATCTTCAGTTGAGATTTATTCTTGGTGTTTTGTTATCAGTGTAGATTTATTAAGAGCAGTAGGGAAGTGGTTTGCCTTTAGTACCTTCTGAGGTTTTGGGGGGGAGGGGGGCTTTCAAGACCACTCTTGTGCCTTGGTATTCCTTGATGGCCTTATATCAAAGTAAGAACCAATCCTAGCCTAGTTTTGCTATTTACTGTGAAAGAGAATAAAGAAACAAATAGAACCCCCCCCCCCAATTTAGATGCTAGTTGAATGAATTATCAAAATGACTTTTCTGTTTAATACACTTTTTAGCTCCTGTATATTTCACGATTTGAGAGAATCTGGATGAGTTCACAAAACACGCTAAGCCAAAATTACCATGTGGTAAAAAGAATGGGATATATAAACTCAGTCAGCTGTTGCTTATTTAATTAGTCATGGTTAAACAAATGTATTAAGTTGTTTAGAGACACATTTTCCAAGCACATGGTGGCATTTGGGCCAGTAACAACTGGAATAATTTGTTTAACAAAATAGCCGTTATGTTTGAGACAATAAAGTTCAAATAGGGCTTCTTAAGAACCTGGCTCCATGTTAGGTCAAGCTTATGTTCTCTGTAGCCTTGCAGGCTAACCAAGTGTGATGTGTGATAAATGATTTACTGTGATAAAAGGTGAGAGAAATGCAGCACAAGAAGTTAACACGGAAGCCTCTTAAATTCTTTTTTGTGGGGCAGGCCCAATGGATTGTTTACTCTAAGAAAGCAAGGGGAATCTTGTATTATTTGCACTGAGATTATCACTGCCCATAACTACTAAGAGCTGTAAAAATAAGCAAAGATTATTCACAAGGTTGGCAACTGCATATGAGGAACATAATAGAGCGGTGATGGCTAACCCTTTTGCCATCACGTGCCAAAAGTGGCAAGGCAGAGGGTGTGTCCCTGCATGCCCACATCCATAAGGAAGGGCACATTATAATCCATAATGTGTCCTTCCTCCCTGTGCATGCATGCCACACCCCTCCTGCGCATGTGCGCAACCCCCCGCTCTCCCCCTACCTTTGGCGTGCGATGGCATGGTGGACCTGTTTTTCGCCGACCCCAGGCTCCAGAGGCTTTCTAGGAGCTTGGGGAGGGTGAAAATGGCCTTTCCTGCATCCCCAGTGGCCTTTTGGAGGCCGGAAATGGCCTGTTGAGCAAGCAAAGTTATAAAATGGGAGGAAATTCACTTAACAAATGTCTCACTTAACAACAGAAATTTTGGGCTCAATTGTGGTTGTAAGTCAAGGATTTCCTGTATTAATTTGCTAATTGTGTTCATAGACTTGGTGATGCATCATTTCCTTTGTGCTTGGCAGTTATGGTTATTGTTGAACCTAGTTCTCTAGCAGCAGGACGGATTGCTGTCCTGTGTAAAACTGTACCAGGAAAATTAAAGGGGAATGGGAGGAAAATGACTGCAAGAGAAAGCAGTGAAACAAAAAGTGATGATGGAAAACAGCTTGTCTTTTGTTGTATTACAATGGAATATGGGAGCTATAGCAGGGAATTGAAGGAAGAAAAGAATAAGGTACCATAATATGCTTGGGATGTCTTTTTATTGGAAACAGTTCTGAGTATTATAGGTGCTTCATTAAAGCTGACCAACATTTTTCAAGCTTCCACACAATCCTGAAGATGATACTCCTTTCCAAGTTGCATTTATTTGAATGGGGGGAAATCTTGAAGAAATGTATTCTGGCTTTTGAATAGGAGAGAGAGGTGATGTTCCCATGATCCCTTAAGCACTTTTTCCAAATCATTTTTGTGGTTCTTCATCCAGCTCTTCCCTTCATTGACAGAGAAAAGGGATCAGATTGAAAACACAAAAGGATATTAAACTTAAAGCAGCGTTTGTCTTCCTCTTGCAAATTATAACTTTAATTAGAAATTGGAGAAGAATCTTATTTGCCTCTCTACCAAGAGTAAATTCTATGTCCAAAAATGAGCAACAATAGACTGGGTATGTGAGCCTATCTGGGAAGAAAAGTTGACAAAGACTCTAGTGGTAACAATAGCCAATTTGGATGGTTTTAAAAGAGGACTGGACAGGTTCATAGAGGATTTGGCTGTTAGTGGGTAGGAATTTTGATGGTTGCTTGTCATTAAATGAAGGTAGAGAGTTGGTCTGAGGGATCACTTCTATCCCCTCATTTCTGTCTATTTCTCAAAGTCTGATAGAGCATACATATTTCATGTCCCATCCATTAATCAATGTTCTCAGGTGACATCTTGTAAACAGGATCTATGACCATTCGCTACAGCCAACTCACCATGGGCAGCTCGCCTCACCAACTTGCCGCGACCAAGTCCCAGCAGAACAAGTGCTATACTAATATCAAAGAAAGGGTGGAATAGAATAATTAAATAAAGGATGCAGAATGAAATGCGAATGACAAAAATGTAAATATATATTAAAAATTATTAATTTGAATTATCTAATTGTCCCACGGTGAGTTGTTCTGCAGCTTGGTGAGTTGGTTGTGGGGAGTTGTCCCATTCTGTTATAAGTATGCCTTCTCTGTTACAGTAGCTCGTCTATAGAGTAGGTCTTTGATTTTCAAAGTACCATATTTTTTGGAGTACAATGCACAATTTTGCCCCCCTAAAAGAGGGTGCGTCTTATACACTGAATGTAGCCCCACCCACCCACTGGCCCCCACTCTTCGGCCTCCACATGTCCTCTCAAATGGAACTTTTGGATCTTTTGGAGGCTGCAAACTCAGCCTCTCAAGCGGAGCTTTCGGAGAGTGAAAAAGCAAGGCGCAGAGGCCAAAATGGCAACCCAGAAAGCCACGCTTTGCCTGCTGTACTCACTGGAGCGCCCTGCAACGATCAGTTGCATTTTTAAAGCTGTGTATCTGCCCCAACAAGTACCATAGTGAGTGCATCGGATGAATACCGATCGATGCAGGTAGGCAGAGGCAGAAGGTTTTTTTTTCTTATTTTCCTCCCCAAATACTACCTTATACTCTGAAAAATATGGTACTCCTTTGAAAATCTATTGCCCCCCCCCTCCCCCAGTCATCAGCACCATGCCTTAAATGCTGTTGGCTGGGAACCAATAAAAGAAGATACCATACTCTAGTCCAGACTTGCAAGTTTCCCAATTGGAAACTAAGTGGCCACTATGTTAGTTAGAATGCTGGACTAGATGATGTTCTTATGTCATCTAAAGTATTGAAATATTCACTTTCTGTATAAACACATCAGGGTTATTATATCTATGCCCAAGCAGTATCAAAGCATATACTGATTGTATTATTTTTTTCCTTTAAAATCTTAAGATTTTTTAAAGCAGTTCATTAGCAATAATTTCAAATATTGTGTTCGTTTAGTTTGCCATATGGGTGGTAGACTAGGCACAAATTATATCTTTGGTTTGTGCCTTTCCAGCATACTCAAGTTCTAACATTAATTCAGTCTTGTGGGGGGGACGACAATAGTGGTTGAGGGGAAATAACAACCAGAGTGTGGGAAATAACCTCTTCATAAGACAAAGAGGGCTCATCAGGGCTTCCATCAACCAGAATTTTTGAATGGGCAGGGGCTGTGAAGAAAATAATACATTTTATATTACATTCACTTGCCATTGCCTTCAGAGAACAAGCTATATTATCCAGGATTGAC